AGAAGAATCACCAGTCATGATGAAGATGGACCAGAGCAGCCCCAAAGCCCACAGAAACTGGGCAAGATGGAGATGTGTTCAATCCTCACTCAGATAGAAAGTACAGCTTTTATGCAGTTGAGAACTTTGGATATCCAGAAAGTGCTGTCTGAAATTTCACTTGCAGTCTTATGATGGATCACTAGTAGCAGTATTTCTGTTTCTGTTTCTGTTGCTCTATCTCTATCTCTAATTCTAACTCAAAACCTAGCTCAAGCTCAAGCTCTATTTCTTTTTCTGTTTCTAGCTCTGTTTCTAGCTCTATTTCTAGCTCTATTTCTAGCTCTAGCTCTAGCTCTAGCTCCTCTAGCTCTAGTAGCTCTAGTAATTCTAACTCAAAACCTAGCTCAAGAAGCTCAAGCTCTATTTCTTTTTCTGTTTCTAGCTCTATTTTCTAGCTCTATTTCTAGCTCTAAATCTAGCTCTAAATCTAGCTCTAAATCTAAATCTAGCTCTAAATCTAAATCTAAATCTAAATCTTAATCAAGCTCCAGCTCCAGCTCCAGCAGCAGCTCCAGCTTTCTACTATCTATAGCTGCAGCATAGCTCCAATGTTACTCTAGCTATAGCAGTAGTACTAGGTATTTGTCTACTTTACCACTAGCAGTAACACTTGCTATAGCTAGTTGCAGCAATAAATATTCCTATGATTAATAATATTAGTAGTATTACTACTACTACTAGTACTATATGAAAAACAGAAGTAGTAGTACTACTAGCAGAAAAAGTAGTACTAGTACGTGTTATAATTTCGGTACTAGATCTACTAATGCTTAACTAATACTAGTTCATTTTCTCAAACTATTTCCATTTTTCACATAATTGTAGTACTTTAAGCTATTAGCTCAATAGCAATATTATTGTGTGTGATTTCTGACCATGGTTCGAACAATCATTTTATATTTTCAGTTCAGTTGCATGCCACCATTTAAGCTGGCATCTCATTCCAGAAAATTTATTGTTTTACCATGTTTCTTCTACTTCAAAACCCTACTGGCTCTACGACTAAAAACATCCTATTGGAAATTTTCTTGAAAATCCACCCCCCAGACCCCCTTTCTGCTGATTGAACCAATTACAGTCAAAACTGTTTTAGTCTTTTTTTAAATGTTTCGACTTCCATGATATGTACAGCTGTCAGCTACGTATCTGAGCGCTACGACAGAAGGATCCAAAATCGGGAAGCAGACAGACACGGAGCGAAACTGACACAAACATTCGCAACAACAACAAGATATGTGAAGTGTGTTGACAAGAAGAAACTCTCCACCGACTGCATTCCAGCACGATGACTGTAGAACAAGTAATCGAACACTCGGTAGGCAGACCCTTCCATTCCATTCAAGCATAGCTTTTGCTCTTGTCATTGCCATAGCGAGAACACCGTATCATCCCACAGCAGCAGCAGCAGCAGCAGCAGCAGCAGCAGCAGCAGCAGCAACAACAACAAAACGATGGAGAACAACAATCAAGCGGCACAAGGCAAGAGCTGCAGCAACAGCGACCTCGAGAAGGAAGACGAAGATATTGAGTCCCAAAAAATGGGAGTGGGAACACCAGCAGCTGCCGCAAGCGTCGAGCTGGTTCTCGTCTCTACAAACAAGGATGCCGAGAGCGACGCCAATACCAATGTCAGCAGCAACAGCAAGAACAACAAAAACAGCAGCAGCAGCATCAGTAACCACGGCAACGGTTCCAAACCCATCGTCGTCGAAACCATCATCGACAGCATCGAACACACCCCACACAAAGCCATGCATCCTTCCATCCTCCCCCCGGTCACCCCCGAACTCGAGGCCGAGCACGCCCTGTTTTGCTCGCAACGAAAGGCGCTGGCCCTGGCGGAAACCGGCGCCGGTGCCACCGCAGCGGGCACGAACGGAAGGCCCGCCCCCCGCRAAAATGGGCCCGAGCGGAGGTCGGCCTCGCGCTCGTGCTCGTGCTCGTGCTCGTCGTCTCCCAGCGTCTTGGGGGTCCCGGTCCTCCTCTGGACCTGCCTCTTGCTGTTTGCGGCGGGAACGATTGCCTACGCGGTGGCCGTGGCCCTGGGATTCAACCCGGACGGGAAGGACCCGCCCGCCCGGCCCGCGGCGGGGGGAGGYGGATAGCACGGGTGCGGCAAGCGCACTGCGAACGACGGGGTTTTGTTCGATCTCATCGATCCCGTGTGTTGCCTTGCCTTGCCTTGCGTTCGTTGCGTTTGTTGCCGCTTTGTTCCGAGACCGGTCTGTATTCCTGGATGTTGCCCATGCACTCGATTGGGTTGGATTGGTAGTCTTTTGGATTCGGCATGCTCCGAAAAAGGGATTCGAAGAGACGAAGTATGCTGTGATGCGCGGAGAGCATCTAATTCTTTGTTTGCTGTGGAAAAGGAATGCACTGCGGCCCGGGTGCACTGCAATGGACCACGACGCCAAGTCAGCTATTATACCAGGCCGGACAGCACCATCTCCACCTTTCCCCCCCCGCTACAAACCCACGTGCAAGGATGGTTGGACGAGGCATTGTGCCATTGTGCTAAAKTGGTGGGTTTAGAAACCATTCAACGAAAGACGAGACGAGACGAAACAGAATGAATGGTTCGCGGTCGGTGTTGATTTTTCTTTTTTTTTGCAGTGCGACGTGATGACAGCACGGTGCTAGTTCCTTGTTGCAAACGGTGTGCTTCGAGTGCCACGAGCTAGGTACAAATCCAACCCGGTATGCTTCCACTATGAGTAAGCATTGCAATGAGAACGGCTCCGCGAGTTGTTTCGACGGCGTCGTCCGCTGAAAGATCGAAACGTAGATTGCGTAGATTAAACAAATAAAGGATACTAGGCCGTGTACTTGTATTCTCTCAATAGCAATATGAACATTTCGAMGCAAGAATAGTACCTAAAACGCTTCTCAAACAAGTTGGGTGGGATGAAACCCAATCAACAACAACCGAACTGGCGAGATCCCTGTGCTTTAAAGATATTGGTTGTAGATCGCCACACACTGTGCAAGTTCTGCACAAACGTTTTTCCTCGATCGAACCGACTCGGTAGAAATGACACCAGCAGCGCGTCCCCCTCCCCCTTCTCGGCTCGAGCGATCTGCTCGCGCCGACCGATGTTTCCAAAAAGGCCAGGAGAAAGCATTCTCCCCGTTCCGACTAGCCGGCAAGAGGTTTCGCAACATTCGACACAAAGAGTCATCTGCCTTACTGTTTTTGTGTGTGTGTGTGTGTGTCGCAGAGGAGTGTTCGAAGCAAAATTTCAGAAACAAGAGGAGAAAAAGTGATCGGTGATTTCTTGCCAATAATGAATTTGATTTTTTACCTCACAGAAGTAGCAGTGTTCGTACTACTGCCCCTCGGATTTTCTAGGTACGGAGTATCGTACAGTTTGTACCTACAAACGGTCGTTTTATTACTGATATGATCGTATGCCATGATCGTATCTAAGGTATGGGTACCGTACGTGGACGAGTACAGTACTTCTACTTCTACCGTAGTAAGTACGTACTCGTAGTTTTGAAAGAAGAAGAACGAGCTCATCGATCATCGATGGAGRGAAATGGCCTTTGGTAATTTTAATATCCTAAGAAGGTACGTACCGGCGCGTGCCACCTCGATCGAGAGGAAGTTCTTGCTTTACCATACAGCACTGTTGCGTACGTACTTTACTCGTGCTTCGAACTCGTACTCGTACTCGTACCCACTGCACTCGTATCAGAAATAAGGATGTTAACGGGGTTCGCATGTCTGTCATCGCATCGAACCCAAAAGCAGTGAGTACGGTACTTCTACGTATAATCTCCTACCATACGGCACGCGGCATGCGCGCTCTGTAAGTAGCTTGGTTTGAAATCCTTCCGTTCGCTTCGACGATTCGATTGGCCGGTTCCGTCATTTGCCCGAGAGGTCTCTGAGCAATTTCCATCGGTGCCTCACATACCTTTGTTCGGTACGGCTGCATGCCGTTCCAACCGTACGATAAGTACGAGAAGTTACAGAGTGGACACGGCACGGCACGAGACGGACATTCTCGAAAAGGAACGGACTGGCACGTTGCAATGCGTACAGTTCAGTAGCAATCCTACTACCGTACCGGCAAGCATTTCGTCATCTTGTCGATGCTGTTGCTGTTGTTGCTCTAGTTGCTGTTTGTTCGCCTCTTTCGTGTTTCGATTGTCGATTGCAACAACAACGACAAGAACGGCTGTCCATCTCCCCCCAAGATCTTCTCCTCATCGGAATCACCCAGAACCGAACGGTGTTGCTGTTACTGCCTTGTATCATCAACTAGCACCAGCTTCGATCGAGGAAAGCCGTAGAGAGCAGCGTCGTCGAAGAGAGGCCAAATACAAATACAAATACAAACACAAATACGAAACATAGGCCCAAGCCCAAACGCAAGCGCAACCAAAGGCTCGAGAGCAAAAGAAAACCAATCGAAAGCACTCAACAACCCCAAACTGTACACCAAAACATCATCTTTTTCTGACCAACAGAAAGATACATATTGCATAGTTTTTGCCGAAGGAASAGGATCACTGCAGCGTCGCGTTCACCGTACTCCTATCTAGTTCAGCAACGGGGAAAGACTAAAGACTACTACCAGTGGCACAACAGAACAGAACAGAACAGAACACAACAAAACACACCGACAATACTTATAATTCACAATGGGCAACCTGGACGAACAACTCGAACGGTTGCGAAACTGCCAGTGCCTCTCGGAGGACGAGGTGAAAGAATTGTGCGACAAGGCCAAGGAAATCCTGGCCGAGGAGTCCGATGTCCTGGAGGTTTCGGCCCCCGTTACGGTACGTACTGTTTGTTCGTCCAAACGCTTGTGGGGTGTTATGCAATGTTATGCGATGCGATATTATGCGATGCATCGCCGCCGGGGCCGACGGGCGCCGTTCCGGCCTCTGAGCGGCGCTGCCGGTCCGGGTGGTTGTTGTGTTGTGTTGTTGTGTGTTGTTGCCCCCCCGGAAGCTCGGCTCGGCTCGGCACGAACCGCAGCAGCCTCTGCGCTGCGCTGCGCCGAGATTCGGTCCGCGTTGTCCGGCATGGCATCTTTGTGTTCACTGTTTGTCCGTCCGTCCGCATCGAAAGCCCGCTGTCTCACGAATCGCTGCTKCAACGCAACCCTGCTGCTGCACCTTTTTGGTTTCATTCGGGTAACATCTGCTGTTTCCACTCACTCCGTCGCATACATTGTTATCGACACAACCCACCCCACCTCACCTACCTCACAAACCAATTGCATTGCATTGCATTGCGACACACCGGCTCCGCGCTACACTACAGATCGTCGGTGACATCCACGGKCAGTTCTACGATCTCCTCGAGCTCTTCCGGGTCGGCGGAGAATGCCCGGACGTCAACTACGTCTTTCTCGGGGACTTTGTCGACCGGGGGTACTATTCGGTGGAGACCTGGCTCCTGCTCCTGGCCCTCAARGTCCGCTACCCCAAGCGCATGACGCTCCTCCGGGGCAACCACGAGTCCCGCCAGATCACCCAGGTCTACGGCTTTTAYGACGAGTGCCTCCGCAAGTACCAGTCCGTCAACGTCTGGAAGCACTGCACGGAGGTCTTTGACTACCTCAGCCTCTCGGCCGTCGTCGAGCRRAGCATCTTCGCCGTCCACGCCGGACTCTCCCCCTCCATCGACACGCTCGACCAGATCCGCGACCTCGAGTCCCGCCAGGAGATCCCCCACGAGGGGCCCATCTGCGACCTGCTGTGGAGCGACCCCGAGGAGGTCAACGGCTGGGGGATCTCCCCCCGCGGCGCCGGCTACCTCTTCGGGTCCGACATTTGCTCCGAGTTCCACCGGCGGAACGGGACGGACCTCATCGCCCGGGCCCACCAGCTGGTCATGGAGGGCTACAAGACCATGTTCGACAACCAGCTGGTCACGGTCTGGTCCGCCCCCAACTACTGCTACCGGTGCGGGAACGTGGCCTCGGTCATGGAGGTGGAGGAACACTTTTCCGGCCGGGACAACRATTCCGGCGAGGGAGGAAGCCTGGGCACCGGGAACTCCATCACCGGGAACGGCGACGCCATGGTCGGAAACGGCATCACGAAGCGCTTCAACATYTTCGACGCGGCCCCGCCGGACGCCAGGAGGGGCCCGAGCAAGGCCCGGCGGCCGGACTATTTCTTGTAGGATCGGGCGGGAAAGAAAAGCACGGAACGTGTGCCGTGCGGTGCATCGCAACGCAACGCAACGCGAATTTTTGATCACTCGGATGGATTTGTCCCGATGCGATTCCATTCGATTCGATTCGATTCGATTTGGTTATGGATGCGGTTCAACAATCGCAACGAATGCATGGGATTGGATACAGTATGCGAGTATTCCTCCTCTCCATTCACCGACTACGAATACCTATCGAACAAACTTAACAAAATAAAACAGTATCAATCTATGGGTGCCATTCTATTCTATGATGATTCGTYAACACTAGCAGTACCGAGCAAAGGATTTTCAAAGCTCGCGCACTTTTATCGTAAGCAACGCGGTGGACATACACACAGGAATGCTAGGGATCCACCCCATGCTATTCTCTCTGTTGCCATTTGGTCGATTGGAGGCTGTTTGGAACGAACCATCCAAGGTCTGTTTTTTACGGGTCATTGATGGGATTGAAAAAGACACACACCCCTACCTCGAAGGTCCATTTCAGTTCTTTTGCATGCAACTAGGTTTCACATTTGAGGAATTGATGAAAAGTGTGACATGAAATCCCAAAGTTTGACTATTTTGGTAGAATGATTTCGGCCACTCCTTCTTCAGTTGTAGTACATTATTCGAGGCCTGTTGCAATGGCCTACACCACAACAGTCCAACTTTTCAAAAACACCCCTCTATTTTCAGAGGGAATCTGGATGTAGGCTTCATCAGAAGTAGGGAAGAACCTGGTCTCAAGAATACAAATCGTTTCGGTCAAAAGCGAACACCTTTGTCTCAGCTCACTGGTTGATCCTGGGTCAATATATATGCCTTGGTGTGCCCAAGTTTCTTTCGTTGTTCATATTTCTTGTTGTATTGGTTTGTTTTAATAGAATAAAGTATGCCAACGGGGACATGAAAATCTTCCCCTCAAAAAGAAAATAGGACTCTAGTTGAAAAATACTGTAGTAGTACTAGGAGAGGAAAGAAGATACCTTTGATTTCAAATTTGATTACTAATAACAATTACATGGTGGCGTGCTGACTGCATTCGTAGGCAACAACTCCGCCGTGCTTTCGTTTAAATGGAACTAAGTTGTACTTGGTATACTTGAGGATTGATGAACATATCAGATTGTTCGCCGTACCACCCAAGCAGAGGGACACATAATCTTCGCGTTTCCGTTTCACGAGTAACGGTTGCAAACGCTTCATCGAACTCTTATGATTGTCTACTTGCGAAGCGCTCCGCGGAGACCTTTGCTCGACGCCTCAATGGTAGCTTCCTGCTTCGAGAGGTTGCGGCGGCGGCGGCGGCGAGCACCACCGCAGATGGTATCGGAGGCGGGCTGTGTGTCCTTGCCGGGGGCTTGTTCCTTCATCTTGTCAGAGGCGATCTGGCTCCCCATTTTATCGGTAGAAGCCTTTTSTTGTGTCGTGGCACCCTTTTCCTGCGTCATGGCTTCTGTCTTCAAGAGGCCGCGACGGGTKCCAGAATCGGTYGGAGGAACGACCTCGTCGTCCTCYACCTCGTCGAGGACACAACTCCAGTACGCCACCGGTARGACCTCGGTTCCGGTCGAGTCCAAGAAGACCCCACTTGCCGGGACAGTTTCGTTGGTAAGCTGCAGGATGGAAAGRTGGGTGGGTTCCGGGTCATTATCRATGGAATAAAATTCACCCTGCTCCGTTCCGGCATCGAATGGAAAGGAGGCGATCACAAAGGACCGGTACCAGTATTCCTGCGCTTCGTCYAGAGGAGARAAGTTATAGATTCCGCTGAACCAATCTGGACTCGGTGCTGCCATGGAAATGGTGGATAARAGCGGGTATTCGGGGCTCAGCTCGATGGCATCGAGCAATTGGGGTGGATCCAATGAGTTTGCTTGGCTGACACCGACCACAATATCTCCAGCGATTCCTTCGGCTTCAGCCAGGCAGTATTCTCCTTCAAGCAGCGATGTGTCWCCTCCCTGTGTTATAGAAACAAATTTGTTGTAGAAGCAAAAACATGRTGAGAAACCACTGAATGGGAAAGAAATGGACCACCGAGATCATTKCGAGYGGATCGAAAAAAAAAGGAAAAACGTACCTCCGCAACGGCTTCGACACCGGGAGACGCAAATGTTCCTGGAGACCAAACCTCGTAGTTGGTGTTGTGGGCGATAAGAACGGGGGGCGACCAGTGGGCCATGCCCGAAGGGTAATCCTCGGGATGACGTCTTCCGGACCAGGTGTTTGTGAGCATGCAGGAGTAACCGACAGTTTGGGTGGCGGGGACGGTGCTAGCGATGGTTTGAAGGATGTCCATAGAGTGAGTCATGTTGATAGTAAGTGTTTGTGTTTGTATTTGTTTTGTAGTTGCTTTTTGATTTGATTGCTTTTTGATTTTGTGAGAAGAAAGATTGGTTTCTCAAAATCCGATCCAAAGATCAAGGCCAACGGGAAAARTTCGCAAATCCTCGGAGGAGATCGTTCGGACGGGAATAAAATACGCTTGTGCAGGCTCAAAACAAAATTCGTTGAAGTCGCTCAGTGTTCCAGTACGAATGTCGATTGATTCACGGAGGAAAGTGAGACTCGRAACAGCGCAGGCCGTCTTTTTTAGATTTTAAGACCAAACATACCGCCACAATACAAGCGTCTTTACGACAGCGAAGAATGATACGTACTGTAGAGTGCCGTAATCAATGCTATGGTACCGGTACGTACTTGTACGCATCGTATTAAAAGTACGAGTATTCATTATTATTAAAATTTCTACGATACAAATTGTTCCTATCGTCTCAAGAAATTCGCTCATCAATTTTACATCCTTTACACCCTTCACCAAAATCTACAAGCCGAACTTAACAGCAATGGATACCAAATGGATRCCATATCATGCTACTTTACAAATGGACAAAGTAACAAGGACGAAGAAATATTCGAGCGAAGTTCCATTCCTGTATCGATCTCTCAATTCCTTTCGGAGAGAACAAGCGTGAATCTTTCGTGCTCTATACAATGAACAATCTATTCGCCCGTGATCGAGACAATGCGTGCGGATAAGGACCAGCTTAACCGAACAATGCAATCAACTGCTATGACATGTGGGCGACCAAAGAGYTCCTGGCATAGCACATCGATCGAGGCATCAAAGAGTGAAGGAAAGAATCTTGGAAGGGTTATAGGTGATGGACAAGGACTCGCTGACATGGACGAATGCTCTGGGCCGATTGCACATGAAATCAGTAAGAAGTGAATTCTTTGGTCAGTTGGAAATGAAAATCCGAGACAATCTCAGACCTTGTCTAGATGCAACTTGTATTCCACAATGAGAAAACATTAATTCTAAGAAACAGTTCAGAYACTATTTCCTTCGTTGGAACTATTGGGTTTGAATCCCAAAAAATTAATAACGAAAAATCTAGGTTGCAATTTTTGGTAGAAACAATGAGATAGTGTTWAAAAWATACTATGATTTAGTACAGTAGCAGGGAACCTATCCAATGAGGTCGGAACGGATTGGAGTTTTCTGTTCGTTGAAAACCGTAATTTCGGACTAGTCGGGCCTGGACTGTAGATTTGTTCAAAACTGAATGGTCTGCGGAGTGAAGCACTTTTTAGCATGGGACAGACACTGGTTCTCAATATGAATTAGGMATCGTCACGGCAGTCCTCGTCTTCCTCTCTRACAAACAAATGGCGGGGGCTGAACGGCGACCATTGGGATTCCCGACCTTCGCCAGTCRTCACAGAAGGAGCATCATGTGCACTCGTCAGGGCAATGTGGTCCCTCTTTTGTAAGCTGCGGGGAAACGTTCCTCCAACGACTGAAAACATCGGTGATGATTGAGATGACAATGAGGAGGAGAAAGACGAAAAAGACAAGGACGATATCTCATCGGATATCTTCGARTGGTCCGGTTGCGGACTTGATCGGTCTTGCCATAAACTCTTTTCTGGAGGATTAGCTGAGGTAAACAGAATCTCTCTCTGTGTGTTCCAAGCGTCGTCGTCGCTTCCTTYTCCGCCGTCATCATCTGGAGCAATATCTTCCCACTCTGTGCATTCCTCGCAATAGCATCTCTGATAGGTTCGGCCTTGAACTCTACAGTTGGCTACGACAGAATCCACTTGGACACCTTTCAGACCACACGTGTYAACTAGACGAAAGCCGTTCCCTTCGTTGCCATTATAATTACACAACGGATGGCTCGCGCGATAGAAGGTCGACCAGTGCTGATGAGAATGTAAGTCAAAATGTGGWCGGTAGCCATAATCATTCGAGTCGATATTATGCCCGGAGTCGCTCTTGGMAAATATGTCTYCATARMGTTCATCGCTATCTTTCTTTGGGTCACTTTTGTCATCGGCTATGACACAAAGCATCTGCGAAGCATCGAAGCAGTCTTCGCAATAGCATTGGTCACCGTAGATTCTACACAAGGACGACAACGGCTTCTTCGAAGATGACGGAATCGACTCTTTTGGTGGCTTCGAGTGGACGCGCTTCGTGGCTAYRGCGGTGCTCRAAGTCTGTTTCTGCAGTTTCGTTTCCTTCCGCATGGTAGCAAGTATTGCAGTGGAGGGGTCATCGATATCTTCCTCAAAGCTGGAATGGAACYGGTGATGGTTGCGGCAAAACTGATCGGCGTGGGTCCCAAAAAAGCAGGACGACTGAGCCGCCATGGCGGAAAGAGCAAAGCCGCTGTGCTTTGGATAATTGTTTGTTGTCTTCGCCTTCTTCTTTGGCGACGGCGGTGAAATCGACGCATCTGGGGCCACCGAGTTGTTCAATCTATGATGGTGTAGCAGCTTGCGGGATCGGCGATGGTACATTTGTTTGCCCATCGTGCTGTCTTTGTTGCCTCTTCTCGATGGACGGTTGGTTTTTCTTTCTACYCTTTCGTTMTCTGAAAGAAAGATGCATTTGAGATTTTTTCTGCASGCGCTTTCGCCTCGTCTTCTTGTGAACTGAACCGCAGTTCGTGTTTCAARTCTATGCTGGCATTTGTTCGTTTGAAATCCAAACACGGGAAATAACAAACGAATGATGCTTAATGTACCGTCATGTGGCAGTACAGGTAGTAACTGGTGCGTTGCTGCTGACTAAAAAATCGGTTGGGTTTTCGAGAGAAGATAGAAAGCGCCGCCGTCTTGCAGCTCCCGCCTTGCTCACAGCTATCCCTTTGAAAAAACGGCTGAAAGACTGAAAGACAGAAAAATGAGCAATTCATACGTACGAACTACGGTTACGAGTAACTTCTTCGTGCTATCATGCATACAATATGTATATACGTTCCATAGTATAGTATATAGAACGAGATTGAAGTCTTGCCCTCGGTGCTCGGGGTTCGGTACGAGTACGAGTCGTACGTACGTACCATACTATACTACGACGGTAGGTCTCACCGATTTTCGACTCAGCTTTTTCTATCAAAACTTCGTCTCAGGTTAGGCATCACTATCGTACGGTACGTTGTGCCTCCGATGTGGGATTTTGACTACGCTTTTTCGATCACAAAACGCCGACTCCGGTTCTKTTGTTACAAACATTCCAATCGGTACATTCGGTCTACGGCAGCGTTTGTACTGCAACCCGCAATGCCGAAGGGCAAGGACAGCGGAATGCTAYGCCCTATGTTTCTGGTGATCCTTCGACGATTTCTCTTTCCTTTTTGGCACAAAAATCCTYCGAGGTCTACTGTCAGAAACCAGAAAACGATGGTGGCAGCAGCAGTCTTCAAAWCAACAATCGTTTTGTCGACGTTTGACCTAGCTTTTCCCTTTACGAAATACCGACACCGGGCAGCAAAAGTGGCAAGAAAGTTCTCGTCACAAAATGGCTCAGTATGTACGCAAGGGYCTGTCAAATTCCTTGAGGTCGACCTTGTACAGCACAAGAGAGTCAATACTCAACTCCTTCCAGCTCTCTCCTTGCCCTCCACCATTCATGGTTCTAGAGAGTTGAACTTCGAAAAATCGCAGTTTTTGTTGTTGAAAAAGACGTCGTAAACATAAGGAATCATTACGATCCGATTGCCAAAGGAAGTTCCGTACGATCGGAACGGGAACATCCGGACGAGAATATKCCRGACTCTTATTTGGAGCTCACTACAGTTCTTTCGCATGATTGAAAAACACCGAGCACAATCTTTGGACTTGGGGTGGMAAMCCATTTTYATMATGGTCGCYTCWYCAATAATGAGGCTGGATTGATGGCATTGTTGAAAACGACACTTWTGGGCGTGGGCAAAKAATTCGTCGAGGGTCATGGCATGSACGAATACATACAACYATTGYCGAYGCCTTATAGAGCGTCTCGAATGGCCAGGCTGTGTTGAGCTAACTGGAGCAGGAATTGGYTGCACCKATTCGCAGCATGTGGTGTTGAAGGTTGCATGAATGATAAACCAATCCAAGCATCAGRAAYRTGGCGACAATAACATYACCGGTGTGACCTCTGGTTGATTCAGTGTCTTCCTCTAACCTGTGACCAACTCTTCGAGCGCACGATACAGAAGCATCAACATCAAAGTCTTATTATTCTTATTAATCCATTATATTATCACAGTTCCCAATGAGATTTGAACGAGGACTGTCTCAAGTAGTCGCGCATCTCACGAATTGATTTTTTTWWAAAACGAAACAACTMGAATTCCTCAACAGGGSAATCGTTTTTGAAAGGGCACTCAATCGTTTCGTCCAGTGTTGCCRCAACTTTCCCACCTGMAAAGCAGGGTCTATARCGATCGAGATGATACATCGGAGGATGTCAATACTTTCTCGTGCYTCCCTYATTCGCAATCGCTTCGCAAAAGCCAYCGGTATGTGTCGGTGAACATGACTGGAATGGGCCGAATCGGATTTGTRTTTTTTGCTTCWGCTACAGTCCCACACTTCTCYTCGCTGCCTCCCGGATGGGATGATCCACTGGTACCACTGCCATCGTCGGTCGGATCGTTTTGTGAACATTGAACGCGTGCATAGTTCAAACAAAACCTTTCGTTCTCGGTGTCAAACGCGACCTGCTTCGCCGCCTTGGTCACGAGAGAATTCAGGAGAGCGAGCAAGACCGCAGCCACAACGAGCGCAATAGATCCGGGCTCGAGCATTGCCTGCACGGTGAAACACTGCGCATCCTCCTCCTCAATCACGCCGTATCGAACCATTTGMGCAAAGAATCCATCCAGAGATCCACAGTAGGTATTGAACATGTATTCCGAAATGGGTCCGAGTTGCCTGTTTTAAGTTCAAGAAGCAAAGGAAAAGACAAACAMTGTGAATTGGCGTAGGCAGGGCATTYCACTCGGTCCACAAAACAGAAAGAAGCGAAAACCGATTTGTCCGTTTCTTTCTTTCTTTCTTACCAACTCGCCACGAACAGGGCAATGAGATAGACTTCGATGTATTGCCACGCCTGCAGAATCTCGTTGCACACGGACATTCGGTTGCGCTTTGTTTCGGTCAGCGGAACAAACCATTGGTAGAGCAACCCCGCGGCCTGCAGGATCGGGACGATCGAAACGGTGGACAYAAACAGGGCGCCCAGGACCGCAATCCCCGTGTAGGCCTTGGCGCTGTCCAGGAACCCGGCCTCCTCCCAGAGCAGCCCGACGATCGAACCAATGCTGTGGTTGGTAAYGGCCGGTTCGAATTCCTGCCCCGACTCCACCGCAATGCCAATCATCCCGAGGATCTCGAGCGAAAAGGACGGCAGCAAGCAGCCGACCACCACAAAGACTAGCACGGCGAGTCCCATCGCTGCCATMGCGGAGGAAATCCAGCCGCGAACCACCAATTTCKCTCCGTCACTGCCGTGGTAGAGAGAGAAGGACCGGAACCGCAGCGCAACCGAGCCACGGGATCCCTTGTCCTCGGGGGAAGGAATCCCGTCTCTTGCGCCAGAACCTCCTTCCTCGTCTTGGCTCCCGAAGGGTTCCGGAGGACCTTCCTCCTCCCGGAGTGGATCCCGAGCCCTCTCGGCCATCGCCTCCGTGGCCTCGGCAACGATCCTGCGGTGGTAGTGAATGACGAAATGGGAGCTGACCTGCGACACGAGCTGGGCGATCATGTTGGCGTAGAGGCCCCACCTCGGAACGACCAGCAGGTCCGCCGAGTAGAAGCCCTCGGGGAGAAAGGCCAGGGTGTCCGGGCTCGAGACGGACACGCGAAAGGCGGCGATGCAGACGACAATGACAAAGATGTCGACCATCGACCACTTTGCCAGGCGGTCGATCCACAGCAGGCAGSACCCGCGCTTCGATACGGACAGCCGGTGGGGGGGGACGAACCAGAGCCACAGCGTCAGAGCCTGCTTCGTGTAGGGCCAGATCCCCGAAAAGACGAGAATCAGTATCGCGAGCTCCTTCCCGCCGGCCTTCCAGATGTCGACGGTGGAGCGGGCGATCGAAAAGGAAAAGAACTCGTCGACGGCGATCGTGTCCCCGGCAAGGCTCGCGGAGATCGCCACGGTGGCCCCGACGTTGAGGTGCCCGCTCAGAAAGAGGGCAATGTTTCCCAGGACCACGAGGGGCATCCCCCACCGCACGCAAAAGGGAATGCTCGGGCTCGCCACCATTGCGCTGGTGGAAGCGTTGAGGCCGGCCTCGCGGGCGTCCTCCGCGGCCTGCTTCGCCGAGAGGATTCTCCGCATGGGTTCCGGGCAGTCCTCTTCGAGCCAGCGGCGGTTCCTGCGCCGGACGATCCTCTCCACCACCAGCGAGACCAGCGCGACCCCGACGAGAACCCCCAGGGCGAGGCTCCCCCAAAARACGAGCTGCCCGACGSRGTGCTCGTAGGGGGGGAGCGTGGACTCGCCGGCCGCTGCAAAMAAGCCGGTGTCGGTCTCGGTCTCGGCCGATGCGCTTGGATCGTAGGTTGGGCTGTGGGGGCACTTCCGTGCCGCGTCCGAGAGCATCCGGTCGATCGGGTCCTCCAGGACCGCTCCCCCCGAGAGGAGGTCCCCGGCGTAGGCCAGAACCGAGTTCATCGCGGAGGTGGCCCCCTCCTGGGCCTCGGGGGTGGGCAGGAGCTCGGTGGTCCACGCCTGCATCTCGGGGGTGGTGCACACCACTTTCCCGCTGGCGTTTGCGTTTGCGTTTGCGTTGTCCTTGCCGTTGCAGGCAATGCCAAGGTGGAGCCGGGCCAGGGAAGCCTCGAGGTCCGCGATTCCCATGCCGGTGGGGGAGGCGTCGCGTTGGAATTCGAATTCGCCCTCCGCTTCGCGATCGCTGGCCCGCCGCAGGGTGGCCAGCCAGCACGAGGGGTTGGTGAGGTCCCCGGCGGGAAAGCCGTAGAGCTTTTGGGTGTTGACCTCGAGGATTCCCTCCAGCAGCACCGAGAGGGTCTCCATGCCCATCTCGACGGTCACGTCGTGGCCGATGCCTTTTTCGTCCCCGRYCGTTTCCACTTCCAGGGCGATGCGGGCCGAGACCCCCAGGGGACGGATGGCCCCCGCGGTCTGGGAATCYKTGSGTTCGCCTGGCCAATGCTCCATCCCCACCGTCAGGCGGTTTGCGAGCAGCTGGGGGTGGTCCTCCGACGGCTCGAGGAGCTCCATCGGGGCCTTCATCGTGTTGAGGTTGACGATGCGGAGGTCGCTCACCGCCAGCTTKATTGCCGCGGAGAGGCCTCCGATGGCGAGCTCCGTGTCCACGTCCACGAGCGGGGGGCTTTCGCCGCCGCCAAGGACCATCGGGTGGCCGATCGACCCGGCGTCGACGAAAACGCCCGGGCCTTCAAAGAGAGAGGATTCCAGCATGGGCTCCACCAGCACCTGGTTGATGGCGAGCAGCTGGTTGTTCTCGTCGCCGTAGTAGTAGTAGTCGTTGTTGGTGGTGCCGGTGCCGGTGCTGTTGCTGTTGCCGTTGCCCCCGGGGTCGTCCGCCACCGCCGCCACCA